AGAAAGAATATATCATTTCATAGTACAAAGCAGAATGTTTTCATTCATGTAGGAAGTGCTTCTTAAATAAACACCCCCCCGTTTCTTGATCATGTGGTGATCCGAATGAGAAGATGTTAAGATAGCCCCTTTTTTCTTCCTATCACTTTCATCCATGTTGAAAGAAACGAGTGATTTTTCCATCTGAAAACACTGGAATTTCTTTCAAATGAATGTAGCTCCACTGTACACAGACAAAAACAAAGAGACCGCAAATTAACAGCAGTCAAGTCGCAGGAATCTCCCAGATTCTCAGTGCGTTCAGGAAGATGAAAATTAACAACTCTGAAAGACAACAAAACGCATAGGCAGTCTGGCATCTGATACCAGTCAGAAATCACTAGCTGTGGCAAGTGGCTTAATTAATTTCTTGAGGAGCAGTTGACAAGGTTAAGAGTTCAAAACAAATTATGGACCAAAAAAAATGCTTCACCACCCAGGGTGTCATCCTTCAATTTTCACTTAAAAAATAATAGAAAAATGAAATTGAATTCAATTAGACACATAAGAGTTTCATATTAAAACATTGCTATTCAAGCCCGATTGTTTAACTCAAGTAACAATAAAAAGTAATGAAGGCTGATTACCACTCATTGATCAGATTTCCTTGTTTTCCATGTCTGGTAACCCTGCACTCCTGGGTTCAGGGTTCAGTCACTGTAGTGAATCCTGGGTTCTGAGTAGTTATAGATGTAAAATCTTGGAACTTATATCAGGCAATAAATAAAAAAATAAAAAACAGAAAACAAAAATATACACTTTCATACAGAAACAAGCTTTCTTTTTTGGTGTGGCAAACCTCACTAATCCCAATATGAAATGAAACTGTTACAAGGAAACCCCAGAGGGCAACACGTAAAATGATGTCTGAGATGTTATGGCAAGAAACGTATTCAATCTTAATAGTCATGTCCAGGTTTTTGCTGGTCTTTGAATTGCAAAGAACGAAAGTAATTGTGTCCCTTGTGCTTGTCAACATTTAAGACTTACAGTTCCATAAGAAGAACGTGAATACATAAGAAAGGTAACAAGATGAGATAAAAAAACAGCGAGAGGAGGACCTCTGGCCCATTTTGTAGTTTATCTTGGGGTAATCGATCCAATAATCTCATCTAGACTTTCGAAGTAGGAAGTCAGGGTATCGTCTTCAACAGCATGGTTGAGCAACGTGTTCTTAACTCCCAGTGAAACAGATCCTTTAACTTTTAGCTGATAAAATATAGAGGTTAGCAAACGAGGGAAAGCTACATTAAACACCTACCTAAAAGTGACACGTTTTTAGCATCTGGAAGACTGCCTTCATGTCAGTCATCTTCCCATCATTTATGTTCAAATCATAACATCCATCCTTTTCCTATTAACAGCCTATCCCAGCAAAATGGGTGCAGGGCAGGATACACCGTAGACGGGACGCCAGTCCATCACAGGGCACACACAGGCTGAATCATAACAAAATGTACTGATTGATGTTAAAGGACACTGCAAAAGTAACTGCATATTCCATTTATGGAGTAATATGTCAACAGCACATGCCACATGGCATTTTCAGAGCTGGTATTTATATTTTATTGCTTCTTTGAGCTAAAGCCTGTTTCACCTCTGCATTCCCACACGAAATAGTTCCGCGTTCTCAGTGATATCAGAAAACTGCCCCGCGTCTTCTGCCATTAACCCTCTAGGGCGTTATCCTTTATCTATGCCATTGGCAATTGATTGTGATGAAAACTCTGGGATACAGTATGTAATTACTGGCAATTAACACTATGCAGTCTGCTATAAATATGTGTAAAAAGATTATTTCATCAGTTGTCATGGAAACAAGAAGAGATAATACTGCCTTGTGCTGATTTTACTGTTTGAGAATCACCAGGCTATGTAATGTCCTCTTTTTTGGCCTACAAATTGCCCATGAAATAAATTACACTATTACTTTCAAAAAGCACCAGAGCACTCTGGTTCCACATGTCTTTAATAAGGTCATACATTTACAAAATATTAAGAGGGACTGTGACTTTCATACTTTGACTGTGTTGGAGTTCTGTGTGCATGTCTCAATAACGCATATCCAATCTCCAGTCAAAATCACAAAAAAGGACAAAGAGAGCGAATGGAAAAAAAGTATATTTTTTTATTTTCCATCAAATACTTATTTGGTAGTGGGAAGATGTCTGTGTCGCCTTTGCCTACAGGAAAGCCTTACAACGCAGTTGGCTACAACGCAGTTTTTCAGTGCATTTCTGCTAAGCAAAGGCTGACCCTCAGGGCCTGTTGATCCTGCACAAAGATTACCTTCTAATTCATAATGCAGGCAGGCAATCCTAGAATTGGTTTATGAGTACAAGTAAGGTTGTTGCACCTATAAGCAATGATCTGGCCAAAAAGGGGTTAAATGGGCTAAATGTCCTCTCAAATGTAACCATTGTAATGTTCTAAAGTTATATTTATATTCAAAGGTAAACATTTTACAGGCTGCTAAGTTAAAATGGGACATAAAACAGATTTAAAGTGTCTCTCATGACAGGTACAATAAGTAGATGTGCTTGAGGGTGAGATACATTTCTTATTTTAAGACTAAAGGACAGTGTGAAAGATTTTCTTGGTATAAAGCAATAAGGAAAAACAGCTGTCCAGATGTTTATTCAGTTAACCTGATAACTATTCTTTAATTGAATAACCATCCCTCCTTGTCTTCTTTATTCATTTCTATTATCTCTGCCTCATCTCGGCATTACATAATAACAAGAACGAGCTTTCTGGCATTAGTCCCAAACTAACATGCCTTAAAGAGTAAATAGGACTTCTATCATGAAAGATCGTTATTTATTCATTTTGCTGACTGAATTGTGATGTTGAAGCAAATAATGTTTTGCTGTGATCAAGAAAGCATTGGTATTGAAAGCTGTATTCCAAAGATTGTTAGGAGAAATGCTGTACCCTCCTCTTCTGTGAGCCTGCAGGGTCTTTGAGAATTCTTTGCAAGGCTGAAAACCATTAATCACCCAGAGCTTTAAAAGAGGGTGAAATTGTAAGCGATTGGCTTGGAGACTTCACTACTTGCCTATATCTCTTAGGAGCCTTGTGTTCATGATTGCTCCAGAGGGGTCATGGACAGGTTTAATGAAAATGGCATGGATATCTGACAGATCCACTGATATACCCCACAGTCATCTCTCCAAAGAGTTTTGACCCAATGAATCAGGCCTAACCAATATCCCAAGACATGGGGAACACTCAGATAAAAAATTAGGCATGAACCCAATACCATTTTGGTTCTTTATTCCCGCTGAGTTATTTGGACTTCATGTCAGCAGCTCGACATCTGCTACAATTCTCCAGTTACACTGTGCTACGGTGTACTACCATCTTATTTGTTAGAGCTTCTGACAGGTAAATCAGTGCTTTGAGTCACTTCATAGCTCAGCACTGTGTAAGGGTTTAGGACGTACAAATGTGACAAATGATGTGATCTTCAGGACTTGAGAGAGTTCTCTGAAACCTCCAACATCACTCAGACATACAGTATTCATTGTTCAGCAAGATACTACTGTATAATAAAAAGTCCAGTTATCAATCTCCTGTCTCATATTTCAAGTTCTACAACATGTAATTTCGGAGATAATAATCAAATATGAAAAATAGATTTTTTTTTTAAAAGCCTTCGGCCAAAACAATAAAACAGTTTTAGAAACAATTTATAGTTCCATCGGAGAGCGGCTCTTGAGGATAACAGATTTGTTTTATGAAAGTGCTGAATCAGCCCTGAACAATGTGTAGTTTCAGGGGTCAGAATTAGTATTCCCATGACGTGTCTTCTGATGACAGGTGATTATTAATATTCAGTACAGGAAAAGCTATTTGCAAGCCAAGAAATAACTGAAGGGAGAGCTGGAAAGAAAATTAAAAAGAACAGAAAATGCAGATCAAATAACTTGCTTGTCAGTTCTTTGCTTCCGATAAAGGTTACATCTGTTTCATCACATCAGAAAACATCTGTCAAAGTTGTTAATACACCTGAAAATACATTTTATACTGGTTCCCTCATAAAACACATCATGACACTTAAATTTGGTAAAAAGAGATGAATGAGGGCGACAGCATGTTTAGTGATCAGTGCAAGACTTATGTGTGTCATTTTCTAATATATAAATGTTGTAGAAAAATATATTTGTTATCTCGCAATGTGTTAATATATTACAATTTAATAGCTAAAATATTCAGTTTTTGACAACATATTTTTTCTCGCAACATTTCCTTAAACTGTCTCTTACACTGATGTGGAGTTTGTTCGGCTCAATACTACTGTACAGTATATACAGTATACAGAGAGAACAAGATTTTTTGGAGAGGACATTGAAAGACTTTTCAAGACAGAGCTGATTGAAAGTGGTTTCATTTTAAAACAGGGGATTTAAAATATGTGAATTCCTTAAATTACTGATAGATTGAAAAAAAACAAAGATGCATTGATATACCTCAAGTATGATTAAAAAAAGGTGTTGTTCACAGTTTCTTTAAAATGAATTCAAGAGCTTTATTAGTATCTGATAACTTAAGAATACATTATTAAATGTAACACAACTGATTTTGTAAGGAAACATTTTTTCTTATATAAAATTACAATCTGATTCCAATTATTCTTGATATATGTATACTTCAAAACCATTTTCTTGATCTGAACAGCTGATTAAAAAATGGTGATAGGAAAGAAAACTCAAAATCTACTTAAGTTAACTACTCTGGTGAAACCTTACTTAGCACAATGCATTTACTGCCTTTACTGCCAGGAGACATGCCGGAATCGCTTTTAAAAACATATCTTTAGAGTGACTAAAAAAGCCTAGTTATTTTTAAAGTGACAAGCAGTTAGACAGATTAAAAAAAAGTACTAGAGGAGACACTATTGCAATATGCCTCTCCATGCCTCAAGCAGTGTAGAGAAAGAAGCTAATAAGAGCTCATACCTGTATTTCATTCCTGTCAGCTTCGCTGTGGACTCCTTCAGGGAGATGTGATGTCTTGGAGTGAAAGACCCCAAACTTCGTGCAATAATCGCCACTGTCCGAAATTTGGCTCTGGCTGCATTGACCACATTGGGGCTGGTGGCGTTCTGCTTGCTGTGCCTGTCATCTCCATTCCGAGCCTTCAAGTTGTGATCTGTGCAAGCGATGGAGACTTGCATGGCTTTTTTTGTCTGATTGTTTTCTCAGGTCTTTCACTGTGGAGGACACAAACACGCACGAGCGCACGTTCACAAGCTTCACTGAACACCACGCCAACTTCCTCTGCTTTGCGAAAGAAGACTCAACTCGCAAGACTGCAGAGGCTTCCTTTGTTGGGATTATTCCAGAATGATGTCAAAGGAGCATCACAAGTATCCACAGCTTGCTGTTTAGGATAAGTGCCCGTGACTGAAGCGAAGGGGGTGTAGCACACAGCAGGACACTATACCTTTCTTAGGTAATTAACTTCTAATGCAAACACCTCTTTTGTTTTCAGTCTTGTGCTGTATTTATTTTTAAATGCTCATGCAGTCACTCCTACCTCCTGATGTTAATCTGAGATATCGATGTACTTCTGTCCCGGTTTTTGCTGAGGCTGTTGTTTCAAGCAGTCTTAACACCAAGGCCACATCTCCAGTTATCAACCCCCGGGGATGAAAGCAAGTGTCCACTTAAGTCCAGAGCTCTTTTAGCTTTCTGCTGCTAAATTCTTTCTAAATCGATGTCGAGAGCCAAGCGCAACAAGGCTCCGGCACTAGATACAGTGTATGCCCACAAGGATTACCAAATAAGTAAAAAATATGCACATACACAATTAAACAAGTAAATCAAGTAAATAAATTCTTGAAGTCTACTGCTAAGCACTGATCTTTAGAGCATAGATTTTCCATGTAGATGCTTTGATAGGAACGCCACCGAACAGAGACTCTCTAATCCTCTAGTCCTTTATTTAACCCCTCCATCTAAAAAGAAGAGATTAATACCTCCCTCACCATTACGAGAAGGTGCCAGTGAAACTCCAGGAGAGCAGAGGTTTTGTCCGGAACAATTCTGAGCGCTGAAGGCAAAAGAGGGAGAAGAAAGAGAGGAGAGGAGCTGCGCTTTTGTCTGCTCCTGCACAGGCTCTGTAAAGCAGCTTCTGCACTCAGAAACTGTCTGCAGTTTTTCACCAGTGGCACTGTTTTCAGGAAAGTGGACGAAAAAAAAAATAAATCTGGATAGGACTGACACCGCTAACGGCTGACTGGCTATGGTATATGTGAGGGGAAGAGGGGATTTGAAGCTGGCTGTCTTCTCTTTATTCTTGACTAATAAGATCACAATGCAGGGTTTGCTTGCTGCTTTGTAGAGACAAAAGCTGTACGCATCTTATACAGAAAGGGGCAGTCACACGTATGCTAACCAGAGTGTGTGTGTGAGCCTGTATGTACAGTAGGCTGTTTTTTTCATTATATTATTAACTAGTGTTGTTCAGGCTAAGCTGAGGTAAATGGAGCATCATGCCTCAAGGGGCTGAGAAGCCCAAGGAGGAATGTATGTGTGTGTGTGTGTGTGTGTGTGAAGGTCTGAACATGCCGCAGTTTATTTTCAGTGTTTTTGCTGATAGGGCAAATACCAATTAAATGGAGATTTTTCTTTTTGCTTTGGCCTACTTTAAATGTCACTCAGGCACGCCGAAAGAAAATTAAGGCAAAAACAAAACCAGGAAAGTGTTCACGGCGCAATTCAGCATTTCGATATTTTTCACACCACCTCTTACAGGAGATCTTCTCCATCGATACCCCACTGCTTTGCCCCTCCCCCATAATACTGCCCCTTTAATCCCCTCATTTCTTTTGCACTTTTAGACGTGTCAGGGCTTATTTCACCCAACCACTGGATTACAGTGGTTTCTTTTTGAAAATGAAAACCCGGTGAGATATGAACTTCTGTGCCTGCCTGTGATCGGGGTTTGATTGGTAGTGAGAGCAGCACGCTGGTCTTCAGAATCTAAATATGAATGTCATTCTACAAGGGAAACCCACTCGGTACATCTCTGCAGCTTTTTTCCTAATCCTGAACACACACACATGCACGCACAACAGGAAACTCCGGACACGCTAATGGAATTGGAGGCAGGATTTTGCTCAAAGGCAGAAGAGAGAGAAAAATAACACAACCTCTGCTCTATTTTCCTGCACACTGCCTACCAGAGGCGTGCACTCGCAGGGACAGCACCTATGGCCATGGAAAGTGTGTCTTGCAGTTCGAGCTGCAGTGAAAGCCTCAGATCAGTGCATTAATCTGAGAGCGCTGCTCAGTGAAAGATAGCGATAGACTGTGCGTGTAAAAATACGCATTCCCATCAAAGTGCACACTCTGTTTTCATTTCCAGCTTTCACCCTAACAATGCCCGAGAGAGATGTTTCTGTGACTTCAAACCCAATCATCTCAAATGCACATCATGGCATTAATCTGACTCCCAATTTCATAATGTGATGTCTGCGCAGTTTTGTCCTCACACTGCACAAATGGAACACAGAGTTTTTGGTTCATTAAATATGTTTCACACTGCAGGGCATTTCTTTTCTTTTTTTTCCCCTCTGAGGCATTGATTTTATAGGATTCCTCCAGTTAGTTGTGAACTTTTCACTTTGTAGCATTTGCCTAGTCTTCATAGACCATTGCAGTCTACATTTAACATTTATGTTCCTTATTCCTAAGGAATCCGCCACCAATAGCCAATGATATACATAATCACTGTTTTTACTCACTCAAATGGCACGCATATCCCTGTCACTTGTTCGCCCAGAATAGACCAAAAATGGTGCTGTTTGTTCATGGTTATTAGTCTTGCTCCTTAAGGTCCAGAATTGTACATTTTAATATTAATAATTAAAAATAGGCCAACACAACTGTTTTATCATGTAAAGCTTTACTGTATTAATGAAAATAAAGCTTTCTATACAAACAACACAAGATTCTACTGTTTCAATATTATAATATTTTTTTATATTAAAAAAGGTACAATAAGGGATTTTAAAACATACTGAAAAGAACCTGACACCTAAAGAAGGCTCCACAGCCGAAACGTTGTGTTTTCTTTCTTCTCTTTTCAGCATGGAATAAACCTATTACTTGTTCCTTTGCAGCCTACGCTTGCTGACGCAGCTACCCACCTGAACTACTACATTTTAAAACATGTGCTGCTTAAAATAAGCAAGTAGTTCTACATTATTTTGTTAAAAAGATAATATATCTTGTTGTAAGACTACTGCATTAATGCAGTGATAGGGGATGAGTACAATAGGGCTAGCTTTTGGCTGTTGACTAATCTTTGTGATTGAGGCAAACAGCCAGCCATTGAAGTACCTCTCGAAAAAAATAGATCCTGGGCTTTTTCACATATAATCTACATCAATTGAATTACATCATGCTGCATAAATCGTTGTCTGCGCATAATTTGTCCCAATATAGCAGGGCATTTAAGTAAACAGGGACAAATATAAAAGCACAATATATGTATGTGCTGACAGAAATACTTTTGTTAAATATAAACCTCTTAACTATTTGGTGCTACGTTGTAACACTTCAGCTCTGTCCTTAAGCTTTATAGTGATGCTATTGTTCTGGGCTGCATCTATGGTATGTTGCTTTTAGGCAGTACTCTTAAGAGGTCACTCCTAAATGGGATCTTTCATAGCCACGTGCCAGAGCCATTCGGCTCTTGAAGGGCTACAAGCTCCACAGCATCCTAAAAGGGAGTTCGTGTTGAGCAGAGGAGGTTAACACGCTTCACTGATGTCACTGCAAACATGCAGGAGCCTGACCAGTCTCAGGAGTCAATGTTCCACTGTTTCCAGCCTTGGCTAGAAAATACCAGCCTACCTGGGGAGCAACTGACAGAAGCGAAGCAGGCCATTGTTGTGATGACTGCATGATTGTGGCATCGGCAAGGATAGAGGACACTGCAGATGTTTGCACATGTTGAAATAACGGCTGCGTGTGTTATCACATCTCTGTGAGGGTGGTCCAAACACGGGTATAAAACCCATCAGACCTCTTCTGTAAAGTTGCACTGGGAGTTCATAGCAGCTACCGGACCTTTGTATACAATCATCATAATTAGGAATGTTTCCACTTGATCATCAGTAGTTTGAGCCCTTTCATGTCCAGTCCCATTACAGTGTGAAAAAGCTCATTTGACACATAAACGTGTACATATAGAGTACCTGGTCATCACCTGGATTTCAGTCTCAGCTCTCATAAGTATGCTATGAGAGCTCATGTCAATACAGTAATGACTTCCAACACTGCAACGTCTTCCTTCTACAGATCATTCAAACCTCTATACAAGCTTTTCCACCTGGACGTATTATGTGCTATTATTCATTTTGTGTTACTAACTAAAATATAAAACAAATACTTAATGTGTTCCATTACTACTAGGTGAGTGTTAAACTTTTGAGTGTACGTATCCAACATAAAATAATGCACAGTAATAAAATACTTTTTCCAGGTTTTTACTAAACACTTACAACATGAGGATGGCTCAGAGTGCATAAACATCCTCTTGTTTCACACTGAAAAACTGGGATGTTCTTTTAGAGATATTACATTTACTGTTAGTAGTGTAGCATATTTTGCCATTACAGTCTTTTACTTAAACATTGATTTTTTTGTATTTGCTCTGCATTCGCAAAAAGCCTTTACACCAGTGAAACAGTGTAAAGGTGTAAAGGAAATAGTGTAAAGGTGATTCATGCCCTATTCCATGTTATGGGCGTTTGCTTTTTTATCACATATCATCTATTGCTACATAGCAAGAAACAAGTGTCTCTCTTTTCCTTAATTATGTTGGTCCTTAGCAAGAACATTAGCAAGGTTCTGAGTTTCTATTCAATACCTTTGGGTCATCACAATCAAGCTTCATTTAACAGCCAATATTGTCATCATCTTATGATGTTTTTATCTTTGGGGAAAGAATTTAAAATACAGCTAATCAAGGGCTGAACGGAGAAACAACTGCAGGTGCTCAGTACAGTGCACACCCTCTTTAAGTCAGTGAAGTGTGCCTGTCCTCTCTACAAGCAAAAACCAATGACCAAAATGCCCAGTCCACCTGAGACACTCGCACAGAGAGGTCTCCGTATCAAACAGGTAACTCCTTTGCTGTCTGTGACTGCAGGAATCTTATTTTCCCATTGGTTTAGTTTGTTTTGGATTAATTAGGATATTACCTAACATTTAACCTAATATGATAACAGTGTTTATTTAGTGTGCACTTGAACTACAAACAGAGGCAGAAGGAAACAAATGTAGTCTGTACTGAGCAAAGACAAAGAAAAAGAGAGGTTATTTATCATGTAAGACAATTTTCCCTGAGCTCCTTCTTCGGCTTTTGTAATTCACAAAGAGCAGCCACTGGTGGTACTGACTACAGATGTCGGGCAGGAAAAAAAATGGAATGATGATTAAATATGCATGCAGTAGATTCTCCTGATTTTTTATTTGCTTGGTGCGAATTAATTTGAAAAGGAATAAAATACGAAACATCCCAGAACACAGAACGCATACAAGACCCTGAAACTGAAGAAGCACGACTACGTATTGCACTCCGAAGCTTCTTTTCCATAGCATTCCTACCGCAACAGATCCTTCAGTGAAATGAGATTCTTATTACTTTGCTTTGTTTTAATAGAAAAATTAGTCTGTTGGAATAGGAATCACAAGATAATGTAAAATGTCATTTAATGATCAATAATATCACTGATTCACAATCTAAAAGCTACAAAACAGGCAGACAAGGATTACAAAGTTCTTTTTTTATGAACCACAAAAATGTATCTCTTATACATTAATATTACTATGCCTGGTCTGTGTACCGATAAGAAATAGTGCGACCTAGGCAGTTTTTCTCTGATATTTTATGTGACCAACTGCAGTCTCGTAACTGTGATTGGAATAGCCGAGAATCATTTTTTATGATTTGTAATCATTCATAGCTGATTGGAAAATTTGGCCACTCACAATTTCTTAAAAACATCAGAGTTATTTGTTTCATCAGGGGAGAGACAAGTTTCTATAATTTGGTATTTCGTTTCTTTTAAACTGTACTAATAATGTTCTAAAGAGTTACTCTAAATTTTAACTCCCCTGATCAGTATTATTGTATTGTTAAGAACAAAGGCTCTTTAAATGCAGAAGTAAATTGATTCCTAATTAAGAAGAAGAAAATTGCTTGCTCTAATGCTGTCATGAA